TCTCACGCCGGCGCCCTCAAAGCCAAACGCGCGCGGCTTCTCAGAGCAAAAGCCCCTCCCAAATTTTACTTGCATTCCTGTTCTCTAAAGGGGCGGTCCTAGGGTTTGATGAGGGCGTGGCCAGGTTTGGGTGGGGGCGTGGCCAGGGGAGGGAGGTGAGTTCCACCACCTTTTCTCTGAGAAAAAAAGCCCTGCTTATGGGTAATGTAGTTTAGCTAGTCAGCTATCCCATGTTAACAGGTCAGTAGGAGGACTAGCTAAACTACATTACCCATAAGCCATCTCTTAAGGAGACAGTGCTTAACCCAATAAATGCCAACATTCTAACATACAGACCCATCTAACTGATTGGTCCAGAACAGTGCCTGCCCCAGATATTTGAAATATTTTGGAACAATTCCCCTGCCCTCTACAGCTCTTGTAACTGCTCCCAGTGCGATGTCACCATTGTACACCAGCCATGGTGACACCCATTTTGCAGATGGTGGGAAGCCAAAACATCCCTTGGTTCCCCTTCTGCTTTCCTTCTGGGTGCAGTGAGAGAAGAAGCCACCTGCTAGCATTGTGGTCTGGAGAAGCAAGTTGTTGCTCCTTTGCCTGACAGGACAAAGAGGGAAATAAATCACATTCTGTTCGGGCATGGCTTGTCTTCAATTCATCTAGCATTTAGTTGCTGTGTGTTTAACTATCTGTCCCCTGTCCTGTATCATCTGTCCTGGGTAAAACAGACAGGAAACGTCACTAGATGAGCAAAAATCTACTTTATTGCAGAGCCACATTAACAGAAACTTCCAAATCTGAAGATATAAACTTTTATTTAACCATATAAAAGATAGTGTAGAACATGGGATAATTGCAATCAATGGCTAGAAAAATGAGTTAGAGAGAAAGGAATGTGATATGTAACTTTGAATATATATTAGCAAGAAGAAGACTATCGAGCGATTAACTGAAATATTGTTTATGGTATTATCTATTATTGTTTGTTAAACACATGAACCCAGACATCATGCTGCTTGCTAAATATTGAGAATTTTATTTGGAAAACCCCCAACCCCAACCTTGATCGTAACCCTAACCCAAATCCCAACCCCAACCCTGATCGTAACCCTAACCCAAATCCCAACCCCAACCCTGATCGTAACCCTAACCCAAATCCCAACCCCAACCCTGACCCCACCTTATTCCTAACTCTATAAAAACTAATAAAATTTATACCAAAAAAAAGATAAAATATCATCAGCTTTTACTGGAAGAAAAAAAAATGTCCCTTGGTGCAACTGAAGTTGCTTGAGGCTAAAATAACCTTGCTAAGCACAGGCTCAAGCATCTATTGATTTCTATAATTGAGATGCCTGTGTAATTTAAATGAGTTTAAAATATGAAACCACAAAGAATGTTTACTTTATTTCCAAAGGCAGGCAAACTGCCTTCTGTTGATAGGAGAGCAGACGCGTTCTTCTAGATGTTAACCCAGAACCGTTTAGGAATTTGATACCTACAACTTCTCTCTTAAGTTGAATAGGCAGCCATTGATATTGACATTAAATATAATAAAATCAGAATGCCAAGTAGCTATCACTACCCTTCCTGTACCCTTTGAAATTTTTAAAATTGTCTTTATGGGTAGCCCCACGTGATTATAACATAGCAATATTCATTTTCTCTGCATTGAGCCATAGCACGTGAACCATATGGAATTTTTTTTTTGTCTAAAATAGTCATTTGCACTTTCACAAGAAAGCAAAAAAAGTCCAGAGCAACTCCATGCTTTGTTGCTAGTTTTTTAGGGGGAATACACTGAGTAAATAATGTTAGTTTTTCCTTCTATAAAAGATATACAGAATTGTTTAAGTTGCAGTTGCTTCTGTATTTGTCCTAATGATATGAAAGCTTTAAATCTCATCTGTGTATCTCATCCTGGTATCATGGAGATACCAGGATTCTCCAGATAGTCTTGAACTAGAGTTCCATTATCATGTCATGTCATTTTGGTCATGTAGCTGATAGAACCTGGGATATTTTGAAAGCCACATGTGGGCATCTATGATGGTTTGAATGTCAGCTTTGAAATTTCTCAACAATGAGAATTGTTCGACATTAAAGTTCAAATACACAAAATTGAAGGCCACTCAAACTGGGGAAGACTGAACTAGACCAAGCTAATTAGTCTCCAAGTAATACTTGATAAATAGGTTAGTCCAACTTGAGAAATGTTTTGTTTTCCACAAAGATAATTGTCTGCATGAATTCTGGATAAATGCAGAAATTAATCAGCATAAAGACCAGTTTCTTTTAAATTAAAAAAAAAGTGCTTGGTGGGAAAGATTTGCATCTTTTGAATGACAATAGTGAAAGTAAAACGTTCAGATCTTGGAACCGTCCGAAGTTTCCAGTTTATCAGTAGAGAGTTCCTCCTCCTTGAAAACCTTCTGAAACAACTCTTTGATGCCTTTCCGGGTTTTTCCCTTCTGTCTCCCCACCAAGTAATAGATCAAGGGGTTAATGCCGCTGTTGATGCAGGTACACAAGTAGCCAAAATGTACAAAGTTGGGATCTATATCTTCAAAAAAGTACAGGATGACATAAAAGGCAGTTAGTGGAAAAGCCAAGACTAAAAAGAAGAAAAGTGTAAGCAAAATAGCTGTCAAAAGCTTTCTCCGCCTTTGGCTTTTGGATATGAAGCAGATTTTGATAAACAAGACAACACTGGAGATTGTCATAAGTGGGAGACAAAGCACAGCATTAACAATGAACTGATACATGAAAGTATAATTCTCTCCAAATCCATCAACAGCTATAATTGTGAAGTGAATTGAAGAGAGGACGAAGCACGTGGCCCAGATGACAGCACACACAATAGTGAACAGATGCACCGGCCGGTGGCATCGATACCAAATTGGGAAAAGGACCGAAATACACCTGTCGATGCTGATGACTGTCAGGAGAAATTGGCCCGTACTGTACATTAACAGTAGGACCGTTTGGAAGAGTTCATAGGGAAAGTCACAATACAAGTGTGTAAAAAGCCAGTAGATTTCGATAATCAGCTCAGTGGCGAGGAAACCAAAGTCTGCAACAGAGAGGTTGATAATATAAATGGCAAAAGTATTCCTCTTAATGGAGCAGCCCAGCAGCCAGATAACAAGGCCGTTGCCTAACATTCCCAACACACAAACAGGCATAGTGAAGATTGCAAAGATAAGTACATCATTTATGTTGGAATCATTACAGGTTATATTTATGCCACTGGGTGTTGCATTGGTTTGTGCTAAGACACTGAATGGAGAGGGGGATGCCATATCCATTATGCTTCAGTCTTTTGTCTTCCTTCTCTTGCTTCAGATACTCCTGCTGGAACAGAAGAAAAGCAGATGGCATTAGGTTTTGTCACAGTTCTTAAAAATGCATATTGCAAGATTGTCTCCAGATTAGCAGCCCCATCCTCAAAATTAGCATGGAAGGATGCAGTTTGTATGAGACGAGATGAGGGTGATGATCTGGCCTTGTTTATCTGAATAAAAAGGGGTTATGTGAAAGCCTTGATTCATCAAACCACGAAGTTTCCAGAGTCTCAAATCAATTATCACTTGTAAATTAACTTTACTGGGTAACTGTGGGGGTAAGAGAAGAGATGAGCTTTATTGTTATTTTCTACTGTGGGCATACTGGCACACATTAAAAATGAAATTCTGTTGCCCACTCTCAAAAGTGTACACATACATAACACACATATAAACATGCTATATACAACATATATATAGCATCCCAGACAATCCTGTGGACCTTGCTCAAGCATCGCTTAGGTGCCATATCTTAGATAGAAGGGAGTGAACTGCTAATAATCTGTTCTTACTGTCCTCACCACTCTCTGTATCACCTTTCTGTCTGAAGCAGTGATGCTTCCAAACCGGACTGTAATGCAACATGATAGGACGCTCTCAATCGTCCCTCTGTATAAAGTGGTAAGGATAGGGGAAGGAAGATGTACTTTTCTCATGTGGCACAGAAAATGCAGGCGCTGCTGTGCCTGCTTCACCAGGATCTCGCTATTGAGAGACCAAGAAAAGTAGCTAGGAATATCAAAGCATTTTTTAAAATACCAAAGCATTTTGATTTGTGCTTGCAAATAAACCAAGAGCAAGGGCAGAACTTTGAAATTAACAAAAATCATTCCAGTTATTAGTTGGGAGTACCACTGCTCCCAGCTAAGAACTAAGATGCAAGAAAAGTTTGACTCCTTTAACCCATGTGTTGTTTCATCAGGTCATCTCAAGAGGATCTGTTTGAAATGTTATGGAACCACTATTTTAGTTGAGAAACTGAAAGCCTGATTTCCTAATTTTCCTGATTTCCTCGGCATTAAATTACTGGCAATTATATATTTGCTTGAAGATGTTTCTCTGAATTAATTCTAAGATCCTGGCAGGACTTCTGATTGCTCTACATTCTCTTCTTCCTCCTTGAAAACTCTCTGGAGGATATTTTTTTAGTTGAACATAGAATGATGTTCCTTCTTTCTCCCCAGTAGAAAATAGATCAGTGAGTTCACACTGTGGTTTATACAGGGACATTAGTAGTCATATGTAATGAAATTGAAATATATATTATTGAGAATAATGCTGAGATAAATAATGCTTAGTGGAACAGAAAAGATGAGGAAGAAAAACAGGGCAAGCAAGATAGCTACAAGAACCTTTCCTTGCTTCTGCATCCATGATTTAAGGTATCTTTGATGAAGAGGGCCAGGTTGGAGACCCTCATGAGTATCCTATCATATTCAAATGAATAGTTTCTCTTCAGTTGTGGGCTGGGAGCAGTGGCGGGATTCAAATATGTGAACAACCGGTTCTCTGCCACTTCCGGAAGTCCATTCTGGGCCTGGGCAAGAAAAAATTAGCTACCGGTTCTGCCAAAGTGGTGGGAACTGGCTGAATCCCACCACTGGCTGAGAGGTATCCAGCTGCATGCCATTCTCAGCTGTCTGACCTTGAAGTTGTATCTCCAGAAGGTATGGTTTGTAGTGAGCTTCCCCCCTCCCATCAAACACCTTCTCTCCCCCCCCCCAGAGTTCATGGCAAAGAGGCATCAAGTGAATGCAAAACACAGAGATGGCAGTTCTGACAAATAATCACTGGAATACAGATTAAAATGATTAAGGAATAGATGGCTTTTTTCCTGATATCCAGGTTGATAAACACTGCCCTTTGAATGCATTGGTGTAAGTGTATTAATTGTAACTGAATGTTGAGCTTTCCATTTTAGCAGATAAAAGAAGGGACCCTATTTGTTTTTGTGGGGGGTTTGTTTCCACTACTTGTTCAGCAGAAATATATAATATCAGAAGTGAAACAAACACAATGTTCATTTGGATTTTTCCATATTTACTTTAAAGTGTAATTAAAACTGCTCTATAAAATAAAAAAATAAAAAAAATAAAAAGTAAAAAAATGACAATAAAGGTTATCTTATCTCATCTCATCTCATCTCACCTCACCTCTCCTCTCCTCGCCACATCTTATCTTATCTTATCTCATCTCATCATCTTACCTTACCTTACCTTACCTTGCCTTGCCTTACCTTACCTTATCTCACCTCACCTCACCTCACCTCACCTCACCTCACCTCACCTCACCTCACCTCACCTCATCTCATCTCATCTTATCTTATCTTATCTTATCTTATCTTATCTTATCTTATCTTATCTTATCTTATCTTATCAAGCATAATTCTTATCCTTCTAAATTGTTCTTTTGGGGAACAAGTATAAATAATACAACATTTGGTAATATTCTACTTGGTTTATATTGGTCACTTATGAAGAAAATGATATTGTTTGGAATCACTAATTAACTTCTTGTCCTCCTGCATATTTCCACTAATGTGGAATTTCATATTGTTGGTGACAAACAGGATTTGGGTATGGCCAGACTAGAGAAAAGAAAGAACTAGGCTGACACGATAGCAGTATTCCAGTATTTGAGAGGCTGCCACAAGAAGGAGGGGGTCAATTTATTTCCCAAATCAGCAGAAGGCAAGACAAGAAACAATGGATGTAAATTAATCAAGGAGAGAAGCAATCTGGAATTAAGGAGAAACTTCCTAACAGTGAGGACAATTAACCAGTGGAACGGAAGTTGCCTTCAGACAATCTGGTTTTTAAGAAGAGACTGGACAGCCACCTATATCCAGTCTACAACACAATCTGTTCAGCAATTCCAAGAAAGTTCCAAGCCTATTTTCACTATTCAGGGGACCCGGAGGGCACAGATGAACCTTCAAATGGCTTCAACAAATACTAACAACCAGATGACTGCAAGGAATTTAAATCTTTCCATCCTCCACCATTCAATCAGAATTGAAGAAGCTTCTTGGATGAGAAGCAAAACATCTTCAATGAAAAACAAAGAAAGGCAAGTTGCCTTTTGAAAAGTATATTTGGGAGAACCTGTGGAACAGATGTTGCCTTCAGACATTGTGGTTTTTAAGAAGAGACTGGACAGCCACCTATATCCAGTCTACAACACAGTCTGTTTAGCAGTTCCAAGAAAGTTCCAAGCCTATTTTCACTATTCAGAGGACCCAGAGGGCACAGATAAACCTTCAAATGGCTTCAACAACTCTCAGAAAGAGTGCTAACAACCAGATGACTATAAGGAATTTAAATCTTTCCATCCTCCACCATTCAATCAGAATTGAAGAAGCTTTTTGGATGAGAAGCAAAATATCTTCAATGAAAAACAAAGAAAGGCAAGTTGTCTTTTGAAAAAGTATATTTGGAAGAACCTGATCTGGATGACTGAGAATCTCCATAGATATTTTCATATAACAATTGCCATGATGAAAGTTCTAACTTTGCTGTGGACATACCTGGTGATGGTGTGCAAGAATCCCTTGGTGAGAACCAACAGGTTCCTTTAAGAATCCAAAGAAGTCCAGAAAGATAGACTGAATCCAGTCAGTCTGTATTTGATTTAGCTGCGATGAGAAAGCAGAATTTATTCAGCATCAGGAACATCTTTCCAGGTACAGAAAAGAGGAACTTGCTTAACATTTTGCTCTGTATTTGCAAAGAGAAAGCGTTTACACCCATATTTTTGTAAAGGAAATGTTTAAATACCTAATCATAATTTCAAAGAAAAAACAAGTAACATCAGACCGAAAACCAGTTTAATCTCATCCATTCTTTCTTCTAGAAGAATGAGAAACCATTGAGAATTCCGGTTTGCTTTTTGCGGAATTGCGAATTGGAATTGGGTATGTCTAGTTTAATGAAGAGAAGGACGAGGGGGGACATGATAGCAGTGTTCTAGTATCTCAGGGGCTGCCACAAAGAAGAGGGAGTCAAGCTATTCTCCAAAGCACCTGAAGGCAGGACAAGAAGCAACGGATGGAAACTAACCAGAGAGAAGCAACCTAGAACCTAGAGTGGTCTGTTTACATACAGTTTTGCTGGGATGTGGTTTTTCTCTGTGGTAATTGTTAATATGTAACACACAACATACACATAGCGAACATCTGTAAGTAAACAACAAAGTTCAGAGGCTATCAAGAACTCTACAATAACTCATTTCTCCAGTACCAAAGTATCAAAGAAGATTACATTTGTCTCTGAATCTATCCAGTAATAACATTAAGAGAAGAAGGACTGTTCTATGTCCATATCAGGGACACTCACTTCCTTACAGAGTAATAATGGGCCAGATTCTATAAGCATCTAGAGTTCTGTAACACAGAGCAGAGAAAAATGTAGCCTAATTTCAGGGAGTTGATAAATGCTATATCCTCTCATTCTTACACCCAAAGGTGATTTTTCACAAGGCAACTGGACTTTCCTGGTTTTTTCTTTGAAGACATTTCGCTTCTCATCCAAGAAGCTTCTTCTGCTCTGACTGGATGGTGGGGAATGGAAGGATTTATATTCCTTGCAGACAGCTGGTCATTTGCATTCTTTTGGAGAGTCGTTGAGGCCACTGGGATGTTTATCTGTGTTCTCAGGATCACCTGAGTAGTGCAAATGGGTGTGGAGCCTGCTTGCATTACACACATTTGCATGACTCAGGTGACCCTGAGGATACAGATAAACCTCCAAGTGGCCTCAATGACTTTCTAAAATAATGCAAATTTACCAGCTGTCTGCAAGGAATATAAATCCTTCCATTCCCCACCATTCAGTCAGAACTGAAGAAGTTTCTTTGGGCACTCAGTCTCTAAAAGGTTAGCCATCACTGGCATAGATGCACTCCATAAAGGATATTGGTAAATATTGAAAGCTTTTAGTAGATAACAATGCAATGACTTACTGAGA